GCTTCTCACATCGTTTCCTATGCATTCGAGAATACGGTTTTCGAACCATAGTAGAAAGGGCGGGGAAGGGAATGATCACATCGGCGATGGGATCGTTCACGTTCTCTCGAGTTCGAGAATTGGGCACCAGATGGCACATTTTGCAACACCAATTTTGCAATTTTCAAAGGAACTATTTTCTACAAATCAAATCTGTCTTTGGAGCAAGTGAGCCGGCTTGTTATGTTTTATTTGTGTCGACTTTTCCCGCGATATGCTTTTATTCACACGGAAATGAAGCTAAGTTCCAAAACTATAAGCGACTGGTTTTTTTATCAGGGAAGTTTTTATTTATTGGGTTGAAGAAAATTCTTCACAGATTGGTGGAGTAGGTGAGACCGTTGAAATAGACGAGGCGAAAGGCGGAAAAAGGAAATATAATCGAGGCCGTATTATCCCAGGACAGTGGATATTTGGGGGCATCCAACGAGGCAATGGGAACTTCTTCGTAGTTCCCGTTGAAAATCGAAATTCGGAAACTTACGGAATTACTTTTTTGCTTTCATTGAAATTTTCTACTTTGGTGGCAGTTCGGCAACATGGCTGACCAGTATGCAATCTTTGGCTGCGCGTACCTTGCGTGCAGGCATGTGCGCGTGCCACAGCAGTTCGTACCGTAAAGCTTTACCCAACTTGGTAATTAAAGAAATATGTCCGGTTTTCTTATCAATTAATATTTTACTTCGGCATTGACTTGACTAGCGATTTCTGCCTTTTGTCTTTGTCTTTTTTACATTTGCTTAGTGACAGGAATTAGGACAAACCCCCCGATTGGTATATTTAGATTTCAAATCTTCCTAAAGCTTAGTTATATTAATTACGCACTTTAATCCGAATCAAATTTAAACAATAACAAAGAGATATTTACCATTTTGCAATTCTGCTTTCAAGCCGTTGATTTGCTCAATTAGCTCTGTGACTACACGTTTGCTGTGATCGTTGAATGCGTTGAATTTAGTCAGGACTTTTACCACGTCTTTTTCAACAGCCAAACACGATTCCATGTTTATTTTTATTTTAAAATCGCTTTGTAAAAATCGTCTTATACTTAACTTACGACAGTCATATCTTACTACCTAGACACATGTCAAAACACTTTTTGAGGTTTGCAAAAATCGCATTGAAGGCAGCTACAAGGGGCGGTAGATAACAGCGTTGCCAAGATTCACGAATTATAATCACTAGGTTCATGTGGGCGTGACAAATTTAAATTTTTTGCTGATTTCAATTAACAAATTAAGGGTTTTTATTTTTATTACTATCTAGACTTTTAAATGGTCATTAGGTATTTGAAAGGAACAAATTTTATTTAAAAAAATTATTTCATGACACAAATAAAACTTAAATAACAATTTACTTAACAATTTTTCGAAGCGCTTTACTTGTCTATGCGAAAATAAAAATATTGGAAATATGAAAAATTAAAAATAGTTATTATTATATTATATAAAATAAGTATAATAGAAAATAAAGAATTCCGAATTTTTCCCATAATTTTTTAAATACTGTTGCAAAAGTTGCGTAATTTGTAAGTATCGCTAAGGTGAATTCCTTTTCAAATTCTTGCCATGTAAGTTTTAGATCCAAGAAACTACATTTTATGGCACTTTGGGCAGTAATGTGATACTTAATTGAATTAAAAATGTGTTAGCAAAGTGCATTTTTACCTGCACAGCTCCATTTCACGTGTTATAAATTTTTATTTCAAATATCCCATATTTACACTAGTACTCAATTGCAATATGTCGCAGTTGCAGGTACAATTTTACTCCATTCTATTCGCTTTTAGCTTGTTAGCGATAGACAAGGTGTCCAAAATGTATTAGATGTCCTGGTTATTCCATCGGCTGGCCACCGCGATCTCCAGTTTTTCACCCGCTGGACTTTCCAGATCGGCTTTGCTTGTTTTGCTTTTTTACATAGGTATTTTTATAAAAAATTAGGGAATAATAATTTAACATCAAATTTACTTTCTACGGAAAATTTCAGGCAGCTGCTTGCATTAGTCGAATGCAAATTTTGAAAGGAGAGATCGAAGTTGAATAAAAACATCGGTTTTTAGACTCATAGTTTCATTTAGTTTAGACACAGAGCATTTTTAGAGGAGAAAGCGCAGATGAGTGTCAGTTTTCCATCCATTTGGTGATATCTATTAAGCAATTGTGGGATTTAAAAAATGTAAAGGTACTTTCAACACCTTTAGAGCCGAGTGTCTTAAAGATAGTAAAAATTTAAAGTTACTACTTGCTTTGGTTTGGAAAATGAGAATTTTTAAAGGAGAAAGTGCAGCTGAGTAAAAACATTTATTTTTTTATATTTGAACATATTTATTTTCAAACAAGGATTATACCTTCTTATTGCTACTGAATCTACGGGTACTTATTTACTAACATCAGTGGATTTATTGACATCAAAGACTTAATCTACTTTAACCTAATCCTAATTCTAACTTAACATAAACAGCCCCTCTTGCTTCATAAACTAACTTGGTCCTGGATGTGGTACAGGAACTGGTCATCGCATGTGGTCCACGTCTTCTTTTTAGACTGTGTCTGCAGGGAGAGGTCTGCGGTCACAGTGAAACTTCTTTGTGCAAGAAACCCTAACAGTGGGATTCTTGCTTTGCCGAGCCCCATTCAGGAACTTTGACGTTAAGTTCCTGATGTGGCCCAGCAGGTCTTCTGTCATTAGGTCTCGCCACAGTGTGGTGTTTCTGACATAGCAGGGAGCCTTTGCTGCTATCCTCAGGATCTTGTTTTGCTGAGCTGCAACTTCTGTCTCTGCGTGATGCTGGCCGTGGACCAGGCAGGCGATCCATAGGTCAGCACCGGGCGTATCAGCTGCTTGTAAGCTCTCACCTTGGTTCGCAGGAGGAGCTTACCTGTCAGCATTGGATAATATGCATGGAGCAAGTACCTTACTTTGGCAATTGTGGCCGCCAACTGGCCGTGCCATACTAGTCGTTTATCATAGATAAGTGATCTTCGACCTTCATGGTAGCCTTTGTCCTCCGAGTTCTAGTAGGCCTGGAAGTGGTTGCCTTCCGACAGAGAAAACTATGGCTTGCGTCTTCTCCGGGGTGAGTTCCATTTTCCAATCCCTGCTCCATTTCTCGATCTTGACGAGGTGTCTTTGGAGTTTGGCTGTCATTCCAGAACCTTTTCCAATTGCAGTGAGTGCTACATCGTATGCGTATATGGAGCTCTCCGTTGCTTTTGTCATTGGAATGTCTGCCATGTAGATGTTGAACAACAGGGGACCCAACACGGACCCTTGAGGTACTCCTGACATTATCGTTCTGATCGTTGACATCTGATCATCGGCTTTGACTTGGAAGCTGCGTTCAGACAAGTAGCTGCGGATTAGCTGGATTTGATGCTCAGGAAACCCTGCCTTGATCATCTTGGCAATTAGGCCCTGATGCCAAACCTTGTCAAATGCCTTTGCCATATCCAGGAAGGCGGCTCCTAGTCGGCGGTTTAACTGCTGCAGGATTCTTGTTGTTAGCCGGGTGGTGAGAGTGTTTGTGTCGTGTCTCGGCCTGAACCCATGTTGCTCATCCAGCAGCACTTGCTTCTCCTCTATTGTATCCTGTAGGTGGTTCAGGATACACCTCTCCATGACCTTGCTCAGTGTAGGCAATAGACTGATGGGCCTGTAGGACGTAAGCAGCTTCCGGTTCTTGCCTTTTTTGGGTACTCAATAGCTGTTTGCCGTAGCTTTTTGAGGACTTCGTTTGGGATTCCATCATGCCCAGGGGCCTTTTTTCTCTTGGCTCCCTTGACGATGTCCTGGATGATCTCTTTCGTGACTCTTCTGGCTTTGGTGGGCTGCCAGTTTTGGAGATGAGCGGCTACCAGCTCATTGACTGTCCTCTCTTGTTCTGGGTGATCAACCAGGTTTTCCCGGAACTGGAGCTCTAGGTGGGCGGCAAAGAGGTCCGCTTTTTCCTTGGGATCCACAGTGGTGATGTCGTTTTCTTCGAGTGGTGGTATTGGCTTCCTTGGTCCTGCTGTGAGGCACCTGGCCAGCTTCCAGAGTTAGCTTCTTGACTCATCAGCCTCTATTTCGTCCATGCGATCCTTCCAGAGTTGCGATCGAAGGATTTTCATGTCTTCTTTGATTGTATTCTGGATGCGGTTGGCTTGTCTATTCAGGTGTGGGTCTTGCGTTCGCATGGCTCTGTGTCTCATCCGGTTTTTCTCCCTGATTTTGGCTTTTAACCAGGGAGGAATTCTGTCCATTTGGGCTATCGGAACTACGCATAGACATGTTGACGTTGCCAGGGCGTTTTTAATATCCCTGGTGAGTCTTTCGGCTGCCTGGTCCAAGTGTTCCTTTGTTGTGGGCTGATGGATCCTGCTGGTGCTTTCCAATGTTCTCTGGAAAGCCTGCCAGTTAGTGATCCTTCTAGTTGCAGTGGAGCTGTTGACGTTATTTGGTCCAATTTGCATGAGAATCGGCAAATGGTCCGAATATAGTTCCTGGAGTACTTCGGGGCTGGACAGTCTTCCTGCGTTCTTGTACAGGAATATGTCCAGGATGTCATCTCTGCCATTATGGGCGACGTGGGTTGGC